AAAGAAAGAAAAAAGAAAAAGAAAGAAAGAAAAGAAACAGAGTGGGGGGGTGGCTTTGAGAAGTCACAGAGCTGCGTGGTGTGGTGAAAGGATGGATGTCCCCTGTCCCCAAGATGGGAGTTGGAGAGGGAGAGTACAGGGGAGACTGCCAGGATGCTAGAGCTTGGATTACTGGGTCCTTGAAGTATAAAGTGGCTGAAGATCAGGATTCCTACTTTAAGACCCCAGGGTCCAGAGCTGTGTCACTAGAGGTGACAGTAATGTCTTGTTCTTTGGCATTTTATTTCAAAATTGCAGCAAAGACAGAGAGAAAAACTTAACGGCAGCACCGGGGACCGGCCAGAGAACGGAGTGATACAAAATCGAGGGCATGAAACACCCCTGACTCCCCAGGAGAGGAACGCGAAGCACCAGGGAGGAGGGCCTGGTCGCCCCCTTGTTGCAGGACCCACCCCTTATGGCTTTGGGAGTGTAGCAACCACCACGGGGGGGCCAGAGACACTGACATCAGGCCTTCGTCCTCTCTTATTGCACTTCAGGTGGATCGGTGACAGGTTGGTTGATCTGAGGTGTGGTCCAGCCGAGGCCGCAGCGTCACACGGCAAGCATCCACTCGTGGGGTCTGGTTCCGTACTGCAGGACAAATGAGTGGGAGAGTGGGGGAGTCAAACTGCAACTCCCAAGAGGCCTTGGGGTGCCCCATGCGGAGCGCTCATCGCGTTCCACCCCGCTGCCTCATGGGAAATGTAGTCAACTCCCCGGCGGGCTCCAGCAATCATGGGGTGGAGCGGGGGAATCCAGGCAATGGCCTATTGATTTAAGGGAGTCAAGTTCTAAGGATTTGTAAAGTTCCCAAGGCGCTTGGAAAAAGTAGTTTCTGGCTCAGAAGGTCCAATCAGTACAAAGTGTAGTTCCCAAGTTGGTGCTTAGGAGTTTACAAGTTTGCAAGAAGGTGTCGGGGAAAGCCGGCTTGGCTCAGAAGAACGGGAAGGTCCCCAGAGGCTTGTGAGGGGAAACTTTCTTGGGCAGGAGAGGAAGCCAAGGAACAGAGGTTCTTGAGGAAGAAGATTTCTCAACCCAAAGGGTTAGTTCAGGGCCTCAGGGACTCTTGGGAGACCAACTTGTATGGCCAGAGTGTGGGCCAAGATCCCAGGGAATCATAAAGGGGTGTTTCACCCACAAGAAGACCTAGCACTCTCAGAGACCCACGTGAGGAGAAAGGAGTTTCCTCTCTCCAGGAGACCCAGAAGCTGCAGAGGCTCCTGGGAAGGAGATTTTTTCCTACCAGGAGACACAGAGACTCATGGGAAGGGGAGTTGACAAGTAAAAGTGTTACTTTTGGGCTCCTAGAGTTCCCTGAAAAGTGTTATTTAGCCACAAGGGGTAGTGTTCAACTACCCAACAGGAATTCCAGTCAACAGGAATCCCTGGAAAGCTTATTCAGCCTGGGGCCCAGAGGTTAACCGAAAACTGGGACTATTGAGGAGGTGCCAGGGAACAAACATCCAGCCATTTCCCTGGGGTGCCACTCACCTGAATTGCCCTCAGCTCCTGCTGGAAGCGAAGAATAAGCTCGGGCCCATGTTCCATGGTGGGAATGTTGATGTTCTGGGAAAGAAAGTCCCGTGAGGACAGGGTATCTCCACCATCTTCTCTCCCACCCGCCATGGCAGCCCCACCTCACCTTGCCTTCATACAGGATCCGGTGCACGGGGCAGACCTGGCAAGCAGTGCCAGAGCCAAAAATTTCCCGTACCCGTCGCTCCTCCAGTGCCTGCAGCAACTCCTTCATGGTGATCTTGCGCTCTGCCACCCGGAACTCACCCTTCAGGGCAAGAGAGGAGATAACACAGTCCCCAGGGGGTCTCCTGCAGCGGGCTCCTGCTTCTCTTGCCCCAGGGGTGGGACAGAAGCGGGACAGAGACATGCCAGCATGCCCACCCCCCAGGTGCCCCCGACCCTACCCAGGACTGGGCCATGTCCAGCAGGCTCTGTCTGATGACTCCAGGCAGGATTATCCCATCTAGCGGGGGTGTCACCAACTCTAGTACTAGGGGGAAGGGGTGGGGGTGTCACCCACAGTCTCCGGCCCTTCCCACCCTAACCCCTGGTGCTGCAACCTCTGAGGAGAGCGGGAATCGGCCACTTCCCCCAGAGCTGGAGCTGGGTCACGGGTGAGCTCACCACCGTCCCGGTGGGTCCAGAAGATGAAGATGTTCATGGTGCCAACCTCGGTGAGCTGCTGGTCAGGCCCATACAGCCAGAGCACCTGCTCGCAGCCCTTCTTCTGGGCCTCCCGTTGCACTAACACAGTGGGCCCATAATTCCTGGGGACGGGCAGCCTGGTCGGACTTGCCATGGGACCGACCCCCCGCCCAGTGTGGACCTGGAGAGTCTTTCCGTACCAGGGCTGCCCTACTCGTCCCCAGCTCCCAGGCCTCCCATGGTTCCCCGCTGCCGCGCTGCCTCTTCCCGTTTTCTGGGTCACATGAGCATCACAGCCTTTTCTGGGCCTGTCCTCCTCTCACCTCTCCCGTCAGGACCAAATCCTGAGACGGCCCCGCCCTTTCCCGATGCTGCCTCCCACAGCTTCTCCACGGGGGACACAGGGACACAGAGCTCAGCCCGGAGCCGGAGCCGGCACCACAGTGACAAGGATGCTGCCTCACGGCGGCGCAGGGTAGCG